TTGCGGTATCAAAGGGGGTACGTATCGAAACAACTACCTGTAAGTCCAATTTCGACTTGTCATCTGACCACTCGCCAATAATAATCACTCTCAATGACTGCTGTGAAATTATGGAAAAATGTATTCTTCATAACAAAAACACTGACTGGAATAGTTACCGTCAACTAATTTCAATTGGTCTAAATACCGAAGTCAGGTTAAAAACTGAATCTGACGTAACTGAAGCAGTAGAGCATTTCAACTCTTGTGTCCAAATGTCTGCATGGGAATCAACTCCACCAATTTCTAAAAGTGTTAAGCAAGATTACCCATTTAACATTAGATACCTGATTAAAGAAAAGCGTAGGATGAGAAAACATTGGCAACAGTCGAGATTCCCTGCGGATAAAACTCGCTTAAACAAACTGTGTAAACTCGTTAAAGCCCTTCTTTTAAAGTATAACAATAATCGCACGTCGCTATACCTTCAAAACCTAAGTGCTTCATGTGATACAAAATATTCTCTTTGGAAAGCCATAAAAAAGAACAACAGACCGATTGTCTATCAACCACCTATACGCAAAATCGACAACTCATGGGCAAAAAGCGATATTGAAAAAGCAGAAACATTTGCGTTACATTTGGACCAGGTCTTTAAATCAAATGATAACCAAAATATGCCTGATGTCATGAATCAAAGGATTAATTTTCTATAAGAGCCTTATCAATTGGAACTTCCAATTAAAAGATATACTATTAATGAAGTTAGAGATGTAATAACAAAGTTAAAAGTAAAAAAAGCTCCAGGATACGATTTAATCACAGGCATGGCCTTGCAGCAGCTCCCACCAAAAGGTTTTGTATTTCTCACTCATCTATTTAACGCTGTGATAATAAGGGGGTTTATTCCGCCACAGTGGAAGATAACGCAAATCTCCATGATACCGAAACCAGAGAAAAGCCCAGAAGACGTCAAATCATATCGGCCAATAAGTCTACTTCCGATCCTGTCAAAAGTTATGGAAATCCTGTTTCTAAAGCGCCATACTCCGTTTATCCAACAAAACAGACTCATACCTGACCATCAATTCGGCTTTCGCCAAAAACATAGCACAATAGAACAAATTCATAGACTTGTCAGACATATCCATAGTGCGTTAGATGGTAAAAAATATTGCACTGCGGCATTTATAGATATTTCACAAGCTTTTGATCGAGTATGGCATGAGGGCCTCCTGTTCAAACTAAAACTGTATCTACCTCTAAATTTTTTCATATTTATAAAATCATACCTCTCGGCTAGGCACTTTTTCATTAAGCATGGAAACGAAACTACAGTACTTCATGATATAGAAGCAGGAGTACCTCAAGGTAGCATAATGGGACCAATGCTTTATCTTTTATTTACTGCGGATCTTCCCCTTACCGATGAGAGTGTTATCGGTACATTTGCAGACGACACAGCTATTTTATCAGTTGACAGTGACCCAATCCGTGCTTCCACCAAACTTCAAACCTGCCTTGATAATATTGCTCTCTGGATGATAAACTGGCGTATTAAACCGAATGAATCAAAATCTGTCCAGGTAACATTCACTACAAAACGTTCTACGTGCCCGCCGGTCTTAATAAACAATACTCAATTACCACAAGCTGTAGAAACAAAATACTTGGGCATACATCTGGATAGTAAGCTAACCTGGAAATCGCACATATTCAAAAAGCGTAAAGCCTTGGGTCTTAAATTACGAAACTTATTTTGGTTCCTCAGCCGAAATTCCAAACTGTCACTTGACAATAAGCTGCTTATATACAAATCTGTACTTAAACCTATATGGAGTTATGGGGCCCAATTATGGGGTACTGCAGCAGACTCAAACCTGGCAATTATACAGCGCTTTCAATCTAAAACACTACGAATGATCACAAACGCACCTTGGTATATAACGAATGAACAGCTACATAAACAATTACATGTTCGAACAATCAAGGAAGAAATAGCAAGTATTTTAAAGAATTACGCTCAACGCTTATATATGCACCCAAACCCTCTGGTTACTCAACTGATGTCCCCTTCCAATACCTTTACAAGGCTGAGAAGAAAAACATCGCGAGACATTTTAAATATGTATATGTAGACAATACACTTTTATTTTAAATATATATGGATATGTCACTGGGCATAGTCCATACGTGCCTTTCTTTTTATATCGTAATAACCATTATTACGATTTAAATTTATATATATTACTTATTGTCATTCATTCCTGACAGATTGTAATAAATAAATGGATTTCAAAAAAAAAAAAAAAAAAATTTCGACTAATCCACATCGATCATCTTGGGCCGTTCATCAAAAGTAAGAGAGGAAACTGCTATGTCTTAGCAGTCTCTGACGCCTTTTCAAAATTTCTAATCGTTAAAGCTGTACGTAACACTAAGACAGCTCCTGTTATAAACGCTCTCAACGATATCTCCAGTTATTTCGGGTTGCCTACGATAATCGTCAGCGATCGTGGAACCACATTTACTTCGACTCAATTTCACGCATACTGTGAAAAGAACAATATACAACATATAAAAACTGCTGTACGTACACCTCGCTCCAACGGTCAGGTTGAACGAGCCAATCAAACAATACTATCGTTCCTGCAAACGTCAACTGAAAATCCGAAACATTGGGATACTATGCTTCATAATCTCCAATGGACGATCAATTCGCAAAAAAACAGTACATCAGGGTTCAGTCCAAACGAACTGGTGTTTGACTTTAAGTTACGAGACGTCACCCAGAACCGGCTAATTGCTGCTATCACAACGACAACAAAGCGGAAGTTATTGTCTCAACAACCGGTGAAAAGCGTCAGCAAGCCGCAAAGAATATCGAGCGTGAACGTGAGCGTTGGAAGGCACGTTTCGACGCTAAACATATAAAACCGTTTGTATATGAGGAAGGTGATCTCATCGTCATCGAAAACGAGTCCGCCGCCACGGGCGAATCCAGGAAACTTGAACCTAAATATCGAGGACTCTACATCATCTCTAAAATACTTCCAAAAGACCGCTATCTTGTTGAAGATATACCAGGAGTGCAATTAACGAGCCGTAGATTCACCTCAATCTTCTCATCCGATAAACTTAAACCATGGTGTCACTCGTGTCCTGAATTAGATGAAATCGAAAACGAAATCGAGGACGATTTAGGTCAGGAAGGCCCGAACTGTCAACCCTGATAAAATACTCTAATGACAACCCTGTAAAGAAAACATTGTCACTTTTGACAGGAGCATAGTGTGTGTCTGATTTGACAACGAAAGAAGACAACACGTGAAATTCTGATACGTGACGAAATATTTATTTATTTTAATAAAATTGTAAAATTGTAATTATTAAATAAAGTCCAGTGAAACTAGTAACATTGCCCCTTCAAATGGCTCTGCATAATCAATATGAATACGTTCCCATAGTCCTTTTGGGTATTCCCAATGATGACTATCGCATTTCGCCGGTGTAACGACACTTTGGGCGACGTTCAAAAATTTTTAGTTGGGGTATCCTCAGCCGTCGACCAGAGTCGAGACAATTTATTTATAGTTTCGCTGAGACGTTGTTTTAGAAGAAAGAACGTTATTTATAAAGATATAAATTATATATTTTTATTTATTTCATAAAAAAAAAGACTTATTATTAACAAAGTATAATTAAACAAATTCAACATATAATAAGTTATTATTCACTTAAAGCATTCTTTTATTTTTTTTTTAAATTACAAAAAAATATGTATGGATCGCCGTTGACGACAAAAATTATTATTCCCTAGTGTGTTACTCGTTAGCAGATTTCTGGCAGGACAGTGTGACGTTCTAGGTCCTCTCCTCTGTTGTTATAAAAAACCAATGAATACCTTGTACTGTAAAAGAAATCATTTGGCCGAATGAGCCAGTTTAAAAAATAATATACATAAGACTACGTTTGGCTGAAGGAGCCAGGGTTTTGGCAAAATGTGCCAGGTGACCAATAGGCCAGTGTACTTGTCTTGGATAAGTAAAATTTCAAGTCTTTGGTAAAATTTACCAGAAGGCTCAATGAGCCAGAGTACTTGTTCCTTTACTTGTCGAAAACCAAGTCCCCTATTACATGAAATGTTCCTCCTTTTATATCGAGCATACCGGAGCTTTTTGGTGTAGCGCACCGGTATTACTTGCTGTAGTTCACTTCGCCGTGAAGTTGAACTTTTTGTGTTCTACTGTGTACTGCTTGTGTCTTTTCGTGTTTGCTTGTTTTCCTCTTCTTTTACTTCGCCGCGACTTTGAGTATTTACTACGCGTAGTGTTTTTTTATTTCGTGTGTGTTTTTTTCTCTCTCTAATTTATATTTTATTATTAAAAATAAAGTGTATTAATAATTCAAAACAAGGTATGAAATATACATATATATTTTGTGAATTTAATATTATTCAAATCTAAATATGAAAAGAAAAGAAATAAATTAGAAATAATACAAAAAAACTAGTGTTGATGTGCTTAGTTGCTGCCGGAGTTTGTTTTGTTTACGTGTATAAAAATAAAATCGTACAAGCATGAGTGTTAAATTATTTTGTGTATTATTTTATTTATATATATTTTAAATAGATATTTATTTAATAATTAAACGTGTTTTCGGTAATAATTGTTCAGTGTTGTTGTGTTTAGAATTTCTTTACAAGTTTTTTTTTTTTTGTTTTCATTCATAAAATTTGTAACAAACAAATTAAATTTTTTTCGTATATTTTTAGATTCTGCACATGTATCGATGCCCGCGGCACGTTGGAATCGGGGATCGCAGGTAATGTCCATGATATTTTAAATAAACATTTTAATTCAATTTCATATTTTTTTAGATAACTCCGCTTCAATTTTCTTCATGTGAGTTTTTTTCTTTATATCGTGGGTAGCGGTGGTAGTTAGTTTACGAACAGACTTTATTTTTTTCTTCTTCTAGATAATATGTAGCACAAAAATTTATTGTAAAAATTTATGTCGTTACACCGGCTTATTCGCTTGTCTCGCGCACCCATCACACTCATTGGCCATATTCTCAATATCTTTGTCTATTCCTAGCCAATATATAAAAGAACGAGCAATGCTATTCATTTTTACCATTCCTAAGTGCGATGTGTGTAGATTCTCTAGTAATCTTTGTCGATAATGTGGAGGGATAACGACCCGATGTTCGAACGTCAAGCACCCTGATGACAACACGTAACTCGCTTCTGGCGATTTATAACCTTCTCTTTTTAAACAGCGGCCACTTTCCAGTATTCTGATTATCTTGCCGAGATGCTTGTCCTTTCTGGTTTCTATTGCAATACGTTCTGCTTTAACAGGCAACTGATTTATCTGGCAAATCATGAAATTATCGAACTCATCACATTCATCTGAATGAGTCGTTACTATTTGTTGCAATTGATTTATTTGTTGAAGGGAAGCACGTGACAAATAATCGGCATTTGCGTTTGCTTTTGAATTTTTATATATAACTTCGAAATCGAATCTGCTTAAAAACTCTGCATAGTTAGCCATTCTACTTATACATAGTACTGGAAGCGATTTATTAGGTTTAAGAATCTGTGATAACGGCTTATGATCCGTGATCAATATCCAATGACGAGCATATAAGTATTTGAAAAATTTTTGCACTGCCCACACAATAGCTAGTGCCTCTTTATCAATTTGTGTATATCGTTGTTCCGTAGTAGTCATCGTTCGACTTGCATAAGCTATTGGCCGATCCACTCCATTTTCTAAACGATGTGACAATACAGCACCTAGACCCGGTAGTGATGGATCGTATGGAATTAATACTTGAGGTGAAGTCAATATTTGTTTTAACTGAGTAAATGCTGCATCTGCCTCTCCCGTCCAGCAAAATTCTTTTGTTTTCAACATGCCCCGTAATGGTCGCGCCTTTGTAGCCAAATCCGGAATGAACGCGCCATAGTATGTTGCTTTCCCTAAGAAAAGTTGAAGCTCTTCAACCGTTGATGGTTTGGGCGCATTCAATATTGCTTCGACATGTTTCTGGAATTTATGCACGCCATGTGCATCAATTCGATGACCAAGAAACTCCACAGATGTTGTGGCGAATACACACTTCGACTTATTTAGACGCAGCCAACTTAACTTAATACGGCTTAGAATGGTTTCTAACGCTTGTAACAATTCATCAAAATTTTTAGCATATACTCAGATATCGTCGAAAAAATTTAACACATTCGTCATACCATGTAGTACTGTCTCCATTCTCCTCTGCCATATCGCTGGTATATTTGCTGCTTCATAAACTGCACGTGTTGGACGTACTAACGCATGCGTGATTGTGTTTAGAGTTAATACATGTGCAAATTCTTCGTCAATTGTAAGATGGGTGTATGCATCTGTTACCTCAAGATGACAAAAAATTGTTGCATTTTTCATTTTATTAAATAAATCTTCCGCTTTCGGAATTGGATGTTCATCAATTATCATTTGCGGGTTAACTGTAGGTTTGTAATTGCCTGTAATGCGAATACCACCGTTTTTCTTTGCAACAATATGCGTAGTCGAAGCCCATTCTGAATGATCTACTCTCTTGTAATACCCCAATTGAATCTTTCGATCAATTTCTTTGCCATAAGCATCTTTTAATGCCATTGGAACTTCGCGTGGTCGTGCGAACACTGGAGTAGCTCCCTTTTTAAGATGCACTTTAGCAGGTGAACCACTAAGCTTCCCAGCCGTTTCCCTAAATACGTTCTTAAACCTCTCGATCAGTTGTTGGAACCGCTCTCGCTGGTTTGTAGATAGTTCTCGCTCTAAGGAGTTTATTGAATTAATATGGTTGGACGAAGAAAAAAATTCAGAAAAGTTAATCTCTCGCAAATTGTGATATCCATTCCCTGCCGCAAAGTGTATTACAATCTCCTTCCACGACATACAGACTTAACCGTCGTACTATTTTACCCATTGACGCGGATACTACAATCCGTCCTACGCAATTAACCTTATGACCCGTGTAGCTTGTGAATCGCCTATCACTTTTAAGCAACTTAAAATTCGGTCTTATCGATCGAAGAGTTCTGTAACTAATTACCGCGCATGGAGTGCCGGTGTCTAATTTCATTTGAATTTCCTTTCCATCAATTTTAACAGGCACCATCATTCTTCCTACCGCCGCCTTGAGTGCATTAATACTAAGTATTTGTTGAACTAGTTCGGGATCATCCTCTGCTATTTGATCTAATTTCGTTCTGCATACTTTAGCAATATGACCGACTTTCCCACACGCAAAGCATTTAGACTTACTGAACTTGCACTCTCTTCTGAGATGCTGACCACCACATTCATAACAATTCGCTGTTTTCTCTTTTGTCATCCGCTTCGCTTTTTCATGATTCTCACTAAAATTACGTTTTGTTTTTATTGGGGCGCAACCTAGCTTATATATTGGTTCACTTGGTTGTCCTAACTCTGTACCCTTGAAGTCTGTTGTTGTTTTTTGCGCTCGCTCGATTGTATGCGCAATTTCATACGCTTCAGTGAAATTTTTTGGTTTTCTAATTACTATTTCATCACAAATATTGCGATATTCAACCCCATATAGCAATTGCTCCACTAACATTCTATCCAAGAAATCTTCATACTCACAGAATCTAGCACCTTCTTTTAAGCGAAGCACAAACTTAGAAATTGATTCTCCCTTCTCTTGTTTAATTTGTCGGAACCTGATGCTTTCAGCGTACTTATTCCGTGTACCATCAAAATGATGAATTAACATATTTTTAATTTCGTTGTATGTAAACTTATCAGGTGCAATTGGACTAGCGAGAATTTTAAGAGCATCGTTGAGTTCTACCACTTTTGTATTTCAACTTTATTCATTCAAGTTACAGAAAAGAATAATATTTTTTCATTTCTACTTCATAATAATAAACTATTAACAAACACTACTCAGTTAAAATGACAACTGCCAAACTTCATAAATAATGTTGCTAGTGTATAAAATTCATACACAACAGTATTATAAACAAATCGCTAAAACATAACTTTCCAGGCTGTAATTTTATAGTTGCTGTATAAAATAGTTTTAAAGCAGAAACAAGTTCCGTCATAAATGTAGAGCTGTTTTCGCTCAAATATAGTTCAGTATTTACATATATCCCCACGTAAAGTGATGATTGATTTTAATAAGAGTAGTCTTTCTATTATTTTGTATGTGGAATTCCATCTCGTTATGCAATCTCGTTATGCAACTGCTTTATGGCCTCCATTCTTTAGCATTAATGTTTTGTTTAATAATTTCGGTTTTTATAATGTCGTTTACATAAAGTTGTATGGTGTGAACTCCACATTTTATAGATTGAACTCCAGATGATAAGAG